TTGGACTCAGACAATCGCCCTGGAAGATACCCCTTCTTATCCTTATGTGGTTCTCCGCAGTCATCATCCGCTCGCCCAGATGACAAAGGATCGTACTCCACTGCCCCATACACTGCTCGAGGAAGTCTCTAACTGTACAGTCTATCTTGTACAGCTCGAGGACTCTCTTTAGCCATGTATGGGGCACCGAGTCGAATGTCTTTCTGTAGTCTATCCAGGCGGCGGAGAAGTTCCGACGGTTGCGTTTCACCACTTTGCCAATGACCGCGTCAATGAGGAGTGGTTCCTTGGTTACACGACCACCGCCCCGACATCCATTTTGAGCGCGCGACATCACCTGATTTGAGTCCAGGTGACAAGTGATTCTCGCGCTCAAAATGGATGTTAGTGTCTTGTATATGGTCGGTAGACACGTGATGGGGCGGTATTTGCTCGGTTCTGTGGTACCCTGGTCTTTAGGAACCAAATGAGTGATCCCAGTAGTGAAGAGGCTTGGGAGCGACTTCTGGTTGAGAGCCTCTTGAAACTGTCGGGCGAGCACAGAGTGACACACCATGAACCCCTTCAGCAAGTAGTGATGCAGCCCGTCAAGCCCCGGACTTTTCCAGTTCGGGGCCCTACGGACCGCCTCAGCTACGTCATCCGGCGTTATGATGACGGGGTCCATGGGCGTAATACCCGCACACTGACTCGCCACAACTTCCGTCCAAGGGCCCTCGCTGTGGTTTACGGGCTCTGACCACAGGCCGCGCCAGAATGCTACAGTGTCGGCCTGATTCGGTGCTGGACCCGTTCCACTTACCATTGGTCGCTCCAATGATTCATAGAGCCTCTTCTGATCACTCTGAAAGAGACGATTCTGGTTGAACCGTGTCGACCTCTCGGTATATCGCCGAATCCGCTTTCCCCAAGCAGCGATTCTCTGCTTCAGATCATCTATGCGCTCCGTCAGTTTTTGCGTTATATCCGGCTGGGACAAACTGACATTTGTCCCAGCAAACGCCATCCTGACGGTGCGCACAATTCTTGGCCTGTTGTTGCCTGATCTGAAGCACATCAGTCTGCCGATGAGAGCTCTAGCCTTTGCGATACGTTCCTCAATACTTCTTCTCCATGCTGGGGTAGCGCTACTATGGCCAGTAGCGCGTCCAGCCGTGGAAACCTTGGCGCCTATGATACGGCAGGTTGCCAGCGCGGCGCCAAAAAGAATTGAGTCCGTCTCGCAAAGGTCCCGGCTGGCTTCCAAATAGGTCACCAGCATTGGGTTCAGAGCCCTCACGACAGCCCGATTCCGCTTGCTTAGGGCTATGCGGGGAAGTCGCGGTCGATTTTCGAGAGGCATACTGCGCGTTTCCACAATCGCCTCTTCCAATGTACTCCTCATATGCTCTAATTCCAGTTCCTGGGCGACTGTTCCATCATCGTTTGAATCAACCACAACTGGGGTATTCACGGCGGCATCCACGTTTGCGGGTTGCTCTACCATTTGTGGCGCCGCATCCTCAGCCGTAGCATTCTCATCCGACGAGGGAACAGCCTCACGTCGTAGGCGTTCGAGTTCGGCGACATCAAATATATTTGAGCGCAAGATATACCGAACTCGGTCTGCCAGGTTTTGCTCTGTGACGGTTAAAGATGGCTCCAGCTCAGCAAAAAGACGATGCATCGTAGCCCGATACGCCAAACATCCAGTTTCTTCCCCTTTTGCCCTAAAGTACGCCCGCAATGCGTTTGCATTCATTGCTTGTGACCAACGCATGCGACGTGCTCCACCAGCGGCGGGTGCCGCTTGCTGAGTCCGAGAAGACCCAGCCGACACCAAGCCTTCTGGTGGGGATGATGGATGCGGAGGGCTGCTAGGTGACCGTGCAGCTCCTCGCGCTCGGCTGGCGACCCGCATGCTGCCGCGTCCAGCGCCAGCTCCAGACGCGCCCCGGCGACCCCCAGGCAGCGGCCCTTTGCGCACTATCTTCTTATCCATCATCCATTATTTGGGCGTCCATTAACGGGAGACGCCCAGGCCCAGCACCGTTTCGTGTGTAGCCATAAGCACAAACGGGCCTCTGCAGCCCTAAATTCTGCCGAGGCACGGCGCTCACACCTCTCGCAAGGCGCTGACTGTCTGCGTTGACGTAGCAGTTTTGTCACTTAACTGTTACGTCAGCGGGCGATGGGGTCGTCAATTCCCTACGCCTATTTATTTATTTATTATTTATTTATTATTATTATTATTAAATTAAACTATAAATACACTCAATTTTTACGGTAGACACCGGCAGTCGGGCGAGAAATCCCAACAAGTTCGGACTCGACGGTTGATCGGCCGTTTTCGTGCGTTATCGGACGATGACGGTGGTGTTTGTTGTGTACGAGCTCTGTTTGCTTTACAAGAGTTTGATTCGATCGTCCGAGTTCGGCCGTCATCGCCCGAGCAAACTTCGGCCGATGACGGATTAGGTGTATGCGAAGCGTAAATTGTGATGCAGCCTAAGATGGTGGTGGCCTTAGCCAGATAGATAGATACACGAGAAGCTAATAAAAGTGTGTAAGAAAAATATTATCGTAATCGAAAAAACATAAATCTGTTGCGCGTGATTCTCTCCGTTAAACGATTCCGATCAAAGTTACACAATCGCACTGTTTATTACTTCTTGTAAGCGTGAAATGAGATCGTTTTGCGTTACATTACGTGTTCATGTCGTTATCTCCATCTATTTCTATTTAGATCTGACTTATTTAAATGTAATGTATGATTTACATGAGCGGGATACACGAATGTGATGGGCAACGTTAGTTGTGGTTTGCCAGATGTCCCGTGTTTACTCAATTCGTGTGGAATTTCTGTGTCTTGTTCAAATTAATTATGTAGAACAATTACGAAACGGTTTTAAGAAAAATAATAATTTATATAGTAATTGATTTTGCTTTTAAATTGCTAAAAACACAAAGTTATTTCTTGACTAACACTATATACTATATGGATTTTATCGATATTACGTTGTTATACGTTTAATTACTTTATTATAATTTATTTTTAATACCCGATGTTTCGGTTGCTTTACAACACCCATGGTCACGGGGGACTGAGATGTTTGACCTTCTAATGTCATATTTAGCCCGGCTACCTTTTGTTTTTGAGTATTAATTTTTTTATTTTAATTATATAACTTTACATTTAGTAATTTTTAACATTATAAGCTATTTCTTGATTTGTGTCGAAATTTTTAAATACTTATTCATATTCATGTCCATTGGTTCCAGCAGGTAAAGAATACATCAAGTTGATCACTTATTTTTGGCTGAACGTGTGGCGAAGCTCGCAGTGTTTCAAAGAGCAATAAAGAGGGAAACGATCTGACTTTTTTGTTTAAATTAGAATATTATTAACGGAACTAATTGTAATCGATAGAGCTCAACGAAAATGTAAGCTATGTATAATAAACGACTCGGCTCAACGAACCCAAAACCGGTAGGGATAAATGTATGAATAATAGCCTCGTAACTGTAAGTGCAGTGCAGACTCCATGCCAGATGGAGTGACATGACATATGTTGATGGATGCAGGTGAATAAGGACCGTGCCTCGTAGAAGCTTTTTAAAAATGTAAATTAGTATTTGTTATAGACTACAATGTCAAGTGATGTTTTGTAATAGTAAGGTTTTCTAAACAAATTTTCGTGAAGGCGAACAGTCTCAACGTAGCCATCTGCACAGGACAGTATTATAGTGCCGAAATGTGCCCGCAGGCACAGGCCCGTTCCCGCACTCGAATTTGATGAATTCGAGTTTGACACGACCGCAAAGAGATCAGGCGCAGGACCTGCGGCTTTACGTGTTTCCCGAGACACGAAGGTGGAACATCGTTAACGCTCTGACTCCGGGCTGCTATTGAGAATTTACTGTCAGAAAAACCCAATACAAAGTTGATTTTGGTCCGACACAAGTATTAAACTCAGGAGCTATATGCTATATATATATATAGTATAGTACTCGTACTAGTCATGAGGTCCGAGTACCGAGTCCGAGGTACGAGTTTTACGTGGTAGTAGTCCATGCTGCAGTTATATTAGTAGTATAGTTGTAACACGAATGGGTCGGCTCGACCGGGGAAGGACCACACTCTCACAGATACCAGCGTGAAATAGTAGCATAATGCTGCTGTGTTTCGTATGGTGAGTGTAGAGAACCGGAGACCCTTTTTACTGGAAACGAGGCATTCCATCTTAGTCCTCATGGGTGAAAACGCATCAGCATTCTGATTTGTAATCGAGAATAGATGTAGATGTCTATGGGCCGCAGCAACGACTTACGATCAGTGGACTGTGTGCTCGTTTGTCACCCTATCCTATATTAAAAAAAAATATAGTAATCGCGATTATGATCACTAGACCAACGAGGCAGATGTTTTGTATATATTTTACGACAGTATACTATTATTTACATCGGAAACTTAATGTAATACACTTTTATCTTGTGGTAGAGCTGCGCTGCAGCTATGTTATGGTTGCAGCACGAATGGGTCGGCTCGACCGGGGAAGGACCACGCTCTCACAGAATACCAGCGTAAAATAGCAGCTTAATACTGCTGTGCTTAGTATGGTGAGTGTAGAGATCCGGAGACCTTTTTTTACTGGAAACTAGGCATTCCATCTTTGTCCTTAGGTGTGACAACGCATCTGTGCTTTGATTCTTAATCCACGATATATGTAGATGTCTATAGGCCACAGCATTCACTTACCATCAGGTGGACTGTGTACTCATTTGTAACCATTATTCTATTAAAAAAATCTTTCAAAAGAAGTTCCTAATTTTTCCCAATTTCTCTTTTTTCGTAGAAAATTTATAGATATTATTTAATGTTGTCAATGATGCCCATTCTGTACGTTATATACATGTTATAACCGAGTTAAGTTATGCAAATAACGTTGCTGAATAACGGTGTCCAGACAGCTGTACTGTTAAATTGGCGCCGAGGATATTGTGCTAGAACTGGTTCCTTATTAGTTCTCGTCTATGCCCACACGTGAATCATTTGTTATTGTTGCGTAAACTAATACTTGCTATTAAATTGCAAAAGCTCAATAGCTGAATAATATCATGTTACAAATTCCTTTTTCAAATGACGTTAGCAGATTCTTTAAAAAATAATGTTGCAGCTATTGAGATATATTCTATACTAGGGCAAGACTAGGGATCCAAAGGTAAAACCTTTTGCTAGCATCATCAACGGAGCGAAGTAAAAGTCTAAAGTTATAACTATCTATTTCAACAAAAGATACAATCACATTACAATTGTTTTAAATTAATTCTTTTCTCAATAATTATTACAAAAGCCCGCGCTTTCGCTTTAAATGTATTCTCCCATAGACAATTTAGTTTTTGGTTATTTTTTAATATCTTTTAGACAAATTTAGATTTTTATTGTTTACAAACCTTGTCTGCGTTGAGCTACAAATATTGCCGAAAAAATTATGTAAATTGTCCTACGGGTTACGGAGGAGATGGATTTCAAAGAATCGTTTTCTTGCGCCGTGGGAGCTCCAAACATTCGCAATAGTTCTGATTTGGTAAGGAGATTATAATTTAGGAGTTATATTGTTATTTCGTCCGTTGGATGTCGTGAAAGGCTACAATGAGACGACGATATGCTAAAAAGATCTTATGTTCTTTAATAAACGTCCGTTTAATAATATAATCTAAAACGATTTTTCGGTCATGACGGCCAGTTTCAGATTCCAGAGTGTCCGAGTGTATCGTCAGACACATGTGCTCTTTTGATCTCTGGGCCCACAATCCAACACGATCGGAGAGAGATCAAGAGCAGATACAACGACGTCTCATGCTTTTCGAGCCACGGGGTGAAATACCGCCAACTCCGGGTTGCTACTAAGAACTTCTCGGTAGAAAAACTCAACAACTGATTTTTGAAGAAGGAGGTAGAACTATTGGTGAATTTGAAATAATCATCTATATTCTATAGTATAGATGATTATGTATACTTGTAATTTAAACCCGACCATAATACAATACCTTAACAAATTAGGTCACAATTTTTCTCGTTTGTAAATATGCGTTTATATAGAGATTACGCAAGAAATCGTTATTATTTAAAAGCTTTAAATATTCTATTCAATTTTTTTAATTTTAAGAAACAACTTAGAGTAAAATTATTTCCAAGTTATTTCAAAAGCAAAGCCCATTAAAATTTTAACTATACATACTTAATCAGGTTAAGCTTGCCATTATCTTCGAAGCTATTAAGTAATGCGATGAGCTCGCTATCTTAAACCATAAACTATTCGAATGTCGAATATTTTGCATGCTTTTGAATATTATTATCAGTAATCTATGGATCATGTAGGTTTTATATTAGATTTGTTTACGTAATTTGTTTTTGACTTTATACTTATATAATATGCATTATAGTATTCTATGATTTATACTATTTTTAATAAATATCAGCCTAGGTTCATAATTTAATTCCAAACAATATTTTATTTTCATATATCACCACGTAGTTTAATCCCCTACCTCATATCATCCCGTAGGTGTCGATATAGGCGACAGGTGGAAACGGAATTAGTAGATGGGCATCTTCCTAATGACAACTAAAACAAAAAAAGCTGCGCTGCGGTTGTCAACCCGCCTGTCAAGCATGGAAACAGGCAAATATATATTTATCGCTAGTTAAATTATGAAATGACGGCGTATCGCGAAATGTCTAGGCAGATTACAATCTACCCAATTTTAAGATTCGAGTATGACTTATAAATATATATGCGAGAGCATAATATTGTCTTTATGATATTAAAACGACAGTAGCCTAACAGGTCATTATTACTTGACCCAGCTTAGGCACCCACATCTACCAGAAAAAGACGCTAGTAGTTAATTAAGTATTATAAATGATTAAATTGGCATTATGAGAAATCTTTTGTTATTTTTAATTAAAAAAAGAGAAAAAATGATCAATGTGTAGGTTATACCAATACATAACGGCAAGTCACTTTCGAGTTCAATTAAATTTACGATTCACCATAAATTTAAATCAAGCACGCATTAATATTCTTTGTATAAACTAATGTAACAAACTAACTTACAGGCCACCTCATGGCAAGTGGCTATTCCAGCACATGGACATCTACAGCATCTGCAGCCACCTTTAAATAAAGAAGGCCACAGATACGTTGCCACCTCTGACAACTAATATAATAATAATGTCCTCCAGACCGTATTTCGGTCAAGACGGCCTGCCTCAGCGGAGACTAGCCATGGGCGCAGGACAGGATTATAGTGCCCAAGTGTATACGCAAGCGCAGATGCACTCTCTATTCCCTCATAATCAGATGGGACGGTAAACCGACACAACTGGAGAGAGATCAGGCGCAGGACCAACGGCTTTACGTGCATTCCGAGGCATGGGGGTGATACACCGCCAACGCCCTGACTCCGGGCAGTTAAACAGAAAACTCAATAATTGATTTTTCGGCCCGACCTGGGATTTGAACCCAGGACCTCTCACTGACCAGACTGCCTCTTTGGTCTAGTGATTGTAGCAGTGTGACTACTAAAGTGTATACAACACTTTAGTAGTTACACTGCTACAACTAAAAATTTACAGATTGTGAGTCATCCCCTTACAGTCGTAAGTAAACTGGCTCTCCATACCCTGTCCTTCAGACCAATACACAGAAGGCAGGCACTTCCATTTGGCGGCAATAAATATAACTTCATATTTCTAAATATTATTAAAAAAATAGCTTTCTTATTTCTTATAAATCTGTATTTTAATGCAAATTCCTAACTATTAATTTTGTTTATTTATTTATTACTTGAGACATCTATCCTTACAGGTTGAACCCAATGCGATAGAGTCCTCTTTAGTATTAACTAAATCTTATACCAATAATATTAAAATAAATGTAGCTAAACAAAGTAAAAAGAAAAAAACATGTTAATAAAAAAATACAAACATTAAACAGTAAAAGAAATAAATAAAATCAGCCAAAAAAAATACAAAAGAAATGAACATCATTTTTTGAAAAAAAAAAAACTAACAAATATATAAATACAATGGCGCACCCATTCCCAAAAATTCATGATTGGTAAGTTTTTAATATGAATACTTTACAAACATATATATAAATTAGGTTAGGTTCTCCGATTAAAACTAACTTCGTGTCCTAGAAGAAAATAGCTACTTACGATTTGACAGCGCTTACCGCTGACGATCACCATTTTGCTTACAAGCGCTTGCTAGCGCTTTTTTCTGCCAAACGCACCCAATATTTAATATGACTTTTGCTAATCCACTATAGTGGCAACTAAGTACGTTAATTTTAAGATTTTACTTAATTTTGCTTTAAAAAGATCAAAGTTTATACCGTCTACAGTTTTAATTATTGTTTTAAACGATAACTACCCCCTCGTCTGCCGGCCGGCCATTTTGCAAATGTGTCGCGTCTGCTAGGGCGTTAGTAGGTAATTTTGCGATATCGGCGCGTGGCGATTAAATTAGTAATTTCTCTAAAATATTGTATGGAAGCTATTTATAAAACTTATGTCATATTAATTGTTATATTATTTGCTATTACTCTGTAGATATCTTAGTTGAATACAACTTAATAGATTTTATTAAGCCAATTTCAAAGTTGGAAAACCAAATTTTTAATAGTATTTTGTGCATAATTTGTGAAAATTAAACATAAAAATCATTCTTTTATAAAATAAATGTAATTTATTTTCATCAATATACACTAATTTATAATAAAAAAGCAAAAAAAAAACACACATTCCTATATATTTTTACCCGAAAAGTTTTTTACAATCTTAATACATGAACGGCAACCCAAGCGTCGCACAAAAAATAGCATATATTGTTAGTTTTATTTTGAAAAATGAGCAAGTCAAGTGGCGTACGATAATTTTAACATTAAGTATGGCTCAAGTCCTTAATTTAGACAAAGTTTCATTTCTAAAAAAGAATGTAATGTATTTTTAATCAACAATAGAGATAAATGTAAGGTAAGTAAGTATAACGACCGTTTATGTTCGAATTTTTTTTTATTAAAAGGATACATATCCCTAAATTATGAATTAAAAACTGTTGGTTATTAACCCTTCTATGTTTGAATAGCACTTAACTTCACTATTTGTTCGATTTAGGAATAAAAATAAGGACAAAAACCGGGACGGATGACCACATGAAAGTAACGTTCGCGTGCGACTGCTACATAGGCTGTTTATTCGAAATTTCTAAACATTGTAGTACTTTAGTAGCTTTGTATCGCATCCTCTTTCTTTGGTTTATAATTTTCTATAAGTAAAAGTGTGATAAAAATCATTGTCGCTGGTTATTTTACCCGCCAAATACGCAGTCGCGGATCGGCCAGAATCTGGTCGCTTGCCAGACGCGCGTAATTAACCATCGGCCAGAATCTGGCCGGTCGCCACACAAAGGGCTACTTACTTTGCAGGAGAACAAGGCGTTTTGCCATGTAGCCTTGTTGTCGCTGAAGAAGTAGCAGCTGTGTCCGAGACGGATGAACTGCGGCGGGCACACGTAGGACATCTTTGTCGAATTCCTGTGCCCTTCCACTCCTTTACCTGTAACATGTAATTCTGTAAATGAAAAGCTTTTTATTATAAAAATGAAGCGACCGAAGAATTTACAATCTATCTGATGATAAGTGGTCACTGCAGCCAATGGATACCAGCAGTCTACTTCAAATAAACAAGGCTACAGATGAGTTGTTAGTCCTGAGGACTAAGAATGTCTCATTACCAATAAAAAGAGTCTCTGGTTCAGCATTATACAGTGCAGCATTATACTGCTATTTTATTATAGGTACTTTGTGGTCGAACCGACCCATTCGTTCTACGATCGTAATAAAGCTGGCTCTATCGCGTCCTAGAATTATTTTCTTATTAAACTACTATTTTTTGTATTTTTTTTAATATTATAAGGATGACAAACGAGCACACAATCCGCCTAATGTTAAGTGGATGCTGTGGCCCATAGGCATTTACATTTATATTCAATTAAAAATCAAAATGCAGATGCGTTACTAGCCCTGAGGATAGAGATGTAATGCTTCGTTTCCAGTAAAAAGGGTCTCCGGTTCTCTAGACTCACCATACGAAACATGCATCATTTGGCTGCTATTTTACGCTGGTATTGTAGTGAGAGCGTGGTCCTACCCCGGTCGAGCCGACTCATTCGTGCCACAACCACAATATAACTGCGGTATAGCTCTACCACAAAATATAATTTATTATTAGCGAATTCAATAGAAATACATATGTAAATGTTTGTATATTTAAGTTGTAATGTTTAAAACTATTTAGCTAAAATAGATTTTTACCTATAAAGACTAGACGACGACCGGAATTTTTTTTTATAAAACTAGTTTTCGTCCAAGGTTACGCCACTGCTACGAACTTTATTTATTTTCATATTTTAATTGTTACCGTTACAATACCGTTTTATTGTTATTTTTACCGTGTTATTGTTACCGTTCTAGTTGTTATAGTTTTTAGGACTCTGCTACTCAACTCCTGATTTGTTTCCCTCCGTCGCCTCTCACGACAACCACGGGATGATACGGATATTCTAACACCGCCGCCACAGGTGAACCAATAATTTAATTTTAAATGTCCTATAAAATTAATCAATTTAACATAAATTATAAATTGTATCCTTTAACTGTATCGAAATTTTGTGGCATGAAACACTGATTGTGTGTTATGTGTACTTATAAACTGCCGGAATTCTCATGCAAAATTGATTGAATTCAATGCAATTATGAGAACATTAAATATAGACAATCGAAATGTTTCCCTCTTGTGGTTAGCTCAGCCAAGAGCAATTTGACTATCATTCAATTTTGAAAAGAACTTCTCGTTGATACATAGTAAAAAATAAATGATGTACCAAAGAGTATCAATAATATTTTTTTAGGTTCAATAATAAATTTCTCTTTTTTTAGGTACATCAACAGTGCCCATATTATGTTAAAGTCTCACAAAAATCTTTAAAACGACCTACTGAACAGAGCACAGATCTCAAATTTCTGTAAGAATGAGCGGTCTCCACATTTATCGATTCGAAATCGGCTTAAGCCGAGTGCGCGTCACCACACCACTCGGCTTAACACCAATCGGCTCTTGCTACGGGTATTCCCAAGTAATCGGCACTCGATTCCTTCAAAAGGCCGTCACGACGGTTGTTAACTTGCATTCGACAGTCGATTCTCCAGAACGGCCGTTGTGACGGCTATTCTCTTATTTTCGGCAATCATGATCGTCACGATGTTCAAATTCGTTCGAAATTCGGCTCATCATTCGATTGTTGCCCAGCGCCGTTCGTCTGCCGTCGGAGATGAAATCATGCCAAAGGCTCATTTTAACGCTGTTCAGCCGTGCATTTCGGCTCCGTCGAAAACTTAATCACGTCAACGTGGGCGTTTGTCTACGTTCAGCACTGTACTGATGCGATCAGTTAACAGGCAAATCGTTCGTTTTGCCGTCGGTCGAAGTCATGACACGTCGTCCGAGCTGAGGCGATCAGAATGGCACTAACAATATCCGTATTTCGTAAATATAAAGGTTTTATGACTAACTAAAGGAATCGGCTTTGATACCGCGGCGATAAATGCAGGGATTTCCTTATTTCACAGAATGATTACTAAATACGGTGGCCTATGAAGTGATATTTTCTAGCATCAGTGTATTGAGTTATGAAAGTGATGAGAAAAATTTACTGCTTGAAGTGCGTTATCGACAGTCTAAACTTTCTTTTTCTTTTCTCAATAAATTTGCTTTTATGTGGTAGAACCACGCTGCAGTTATATTAAGGTTTGTATCACAAATGGGTCAGCTCGACCGGGGAATAAGCACGCCCTCTCAGAAAACCGAGAACCGGAGAACCCTTTTTGCTGGAAACGAAGGATTCCATTGTAGTCTTAGAATTTTGATTCTTAGTTAAGGATAAAAAGTAGATGTTTCTGGGCCACAGCATCCACTTACCATTAGGTGGATTGTGTGCGTGTAAGTCACTCTTATTCTATAAAAAAATCTATCACAATTCTATCATAATGCAAATACATATTCCAAATTACATAATATATGCACACAACCGCCAAATTTCGCATTCTCATGAATAGTCAATAACTGTATTAATGAATTTGTATTTTACGTTAGCATAAACTGAATAGGCGCTCAAAGCCGTCTGCATGATAAACTATGCACTTGCAATGAATAATGTAGCGTTTGTCCGAACATATCGCTAATGTGTTACGTGCGACTCCAGTGTCTCATATTAACAAGGGCACAGTAAGGGTATTACTACACCAATCGATCGTTGATCGATCGTCTGATGGACGTAAATCGAGCTGCTTGATTGTTCTAGAACCGGCCACAAACCGATTAATTGTTGTTCGACGTCGATCGATGATTGAACAACGTTTTATTGACCAGTATCCGTCGATCAGCTAAAGTTGATCAATGGCATCGATCGACGATAGGTTGATTGGTGTGATAACACCACAAGAGGTTTAATCGCTTCTCATCTAAGAACGCAGAGGTATTTGTGATGCTTTAGCGTGAACTTGATGAGTCTGTTTTTTGTTTTATACTGACACAAGTAAAACACGCTTTGACGGAATAATTGTATAACTAGATCGTAAGGTTTATTACGTCTAGGATGTCGTTCCAGACGACTACCATATGGGGACTCTTTCAGTTTTGCCGCAAAGAAGTACACTTGCACTGATTTTCCCGGTCTTAAGGGTGTAGAGCACCTTCGATGCTGCTGGCCGCCACCGCTCTGCAGTTAGATCTGGTATTTCCCGTAGTTTCCTTTAACCCATGAACTAAAATAAAATTTTATACGTGGTAGAACCATCGTGCAGCCATATTGTGGTTGTAGCACGAATGGATTGGTTTGAGCAGGGAAGAACCATGCTCTCACAGTATAGCATCTAAATGCTGGCGCGTTTCGTATAGAGAACCGTAGACTCTTTTTACTGAATACGAGGCGATACATCTTAGTCATCAGGGGTGGCGACGCATGTGCATTTTGATTTTTAAAGGAGGTTAGATATGGATGGTGGGGGCCATGGTATCCATTTACGTCAGCTGACTGCGAGCTCGTTTGTCACCCTTATACTATAAAAAAACTTGTTGACCTTGCAGAACATCAAATATAGGCCATTGAATATTTTCACGAACTAGTAGTTCGTCACAGCGTCTTCATGGGTTGGCTCGACCGTGGAAGGACCACGCTCTCACAGAATACCAGCATAAAACAGCAGTTTAATACTGCTGTGTTTCGTATGGTGAGTGTACAGATCCGGAGACCCTTTTTACTGGAAACGAGGCATTCCATCTCAGTCCTCAGGGGTGACAACGCATTTTGAATCTTAATTGTAGATAAATGTAGATGTCTGTAGGCTACGGCATCCACTTACGATCAAGTGGACTGTGTACTCGTTTGTCACCCTTATTCTATAAAAAAAAACATAATATGTAGGTACTTACATTGCGAACAAAACACGATAAACATAACTGCCGCGTACGCCAATAATTTTCCTCTTCTTTCTAGAGCCTCCATTTTGAACCTTGAATTCGATGGAAGTATCACTTTCGTATGTCACTGTCTGATTCTCACTTCACTGCACTTCACTTGCTAATGGCACGATTTGATGTCATATTTTTATAACAATAATCGAACTGTTAACCGATTTAGGACATTATTGAATTATTCTTGAACGTGTTGATTGCGATCTGGAACAATAATAAGCATAAATTAGTTTTGGTAATACACTGAGACGTTGTTGTATTAATATCTATATGTAACTGATTTCCTGGATGGTCGAGAGGTTGTTCTCGGGTTCGGGTAGGGCCAAAAACAAAAACAAATCGGTGAATTTAGTTAGTAGTAACCCGAAGTCAGGAACGGCGGTGTTATACTGCCATGCCGTGCCATTAGTCTACGCCTAATCACTCTCCGTTATGTTGTGATTTCCGTCACACGAGACTATGAGAGTGCGAAAATAAAGAGTGCACCTGTGCTTGCGCATACATTCGGGCACTATATTCCTGTATATGCCAACATGTTCGAAATTCAGTCTGGAGGTCATTATTTTATATGTAAATGGAAGTTTTTTTTTTTGTAAGAAATAGTGACATCCTTTAGTTCTGCCTTTACCTTTAATCCATTACCTAAACTCGTCCCGTGCTTATTGTAAGAGTCGGTTAATATGTACAAGCATCAACAATATGTAATAATTATCTTAAAATTTTACAGACCTAACCTAAGTATATCATACCTAAATTGCAGACCGATCGGAATATTCTTCTAAGAGGGGCCTAGCTGGTGACGATAAAGCTTATTATGATGATGATGGTCAAATACGGGAAAGAAATAGTTTTTTGTAGCCAGAATATTGTTGTTTTGGAATTCTGTTGTTGGAATGTAAATTATTTTTTTTAATTTGGATTGCCAACATAAGAAACAGCAATTAATGTTTGGTTACATTACAGTGTTATAAATTTTACATGATCAACTGCTCTTATAATTAAAGGCAATCACAGCATGCGTTGTGTTACAAATGTTAAACAAAATTGAGAAAAATATGTTCTTAAATAAAAAATAAAATAAGAAATAATGATAAAGAAATAAAAGTTAATTGTACAACTGGAGTTTACCGTACGTGCTTTGGCTTGGCATCTAATCAAGTTGCAAGAATAACAAAACTGAATGAATCACTCACGATACCTAAAAGTCCTAAGAGGTAATATAATTTGCTGACCGTTTAAAACAATAAATAATTCCTGGCACGTATTAAGGCTGACTTAGAAAGTACAGCCATAAAGTGAAATCAAGATTTAGATTTTGAGTGTCTCAAAGCAGCAAGAAAGAGTATTATACTTAAGTATTGTATTCACTGATTACATCTATTGGTAATGTAGGTAGATATCCGTTGATCGGAGAAATAAAGATATAATTATGAAATCGCGGCTGTATACAATTCCCAATTTGCATATTATTGTACACATCGAATTGAGATGTAGTACTCTATAGTCACCAAATCAAAAATGCGCGAACCACTCAACTTTAACCCCTTCCACCAGCTTTATATTGCACTTATATAATAAAAAGTACACCAATGCAACACAAAAAAAGGAGATTCCAATTAATACTTCTGACGTAGTTATAAGATTATTTATTTCGATTATTATTAAAAAAAAAGTTAATTTAAAATAATTATGCTGACGTGCAGTTTGTCGGTATGGATGTGAACAAGATGTCTTTAGAAAAACTTAACTTATCACTTTTATTTGTTTTTATTAATCTTTAGATTTTAATTCTTAGGATAACTTTTGAATTTCACTATTGTAAACCGTTCCGTCAATTTTTTTCGGAAACAAAATACGAATCACCGGTATCAAGCAGACAAAAAAATTGTGTTAATTGAACAGAAACAATTTTTGTAGGTTTAAACGAAATACGTGTTTCGGTAAATAATAAAAGTAAATTGATTTAAAAAAAATATTAAATGAGTGTTCGAGGTGTGCACTTTACGATTTTCCGAATCATTTATTATATAAAGCTATGATTATTGATAATCATTTACTACCGGTTATTATATATAACGTCAGAGGCAATAAAAATAGTATTTTCTATTATAGGACATTAACATCCTTCTAAGACAATACCATGATGTCATGAAGCGACGTTAAATTACTTGTTAAATTCAGTTTCGGTAACATCAAATGTATCCAGAGGGAAGTTGACAGTGATGGCAGATCGAATCGCACCCACATCCATTTTAAAAATATATTCATGCCAGCAGACAGCAATACTCTAGCGATAATTGATAGAATCAGGCGTTACTTTGCGGAAATCCATTATAATAAAAATATTAATTACTTCGCAACCTTCCGCTAACTAAATACAATGATGTGTCTTACCTGGATTGAAGAGCACCTCCCGCTCTCCCTCAATTGCATGCACTAATTCCGTCACCACTAGTCCCAGCACCACTACTCCCAACACCACTACTCCCGGCACCACTACTTCCAACACCACTAAGACTTAGCGGTCAGCCGCCGTAGAGTCTACATCACCTGAGGATGCCTCGTGTAGAGGCAAAACACGTGTCGTATTATCGTCGATGGTGTGTCTTACCTGGAATAGTGGTGTTGGAAGTAGTGGTTCCGGGAGTAGTGATGCTGGGACTAGTGGTGACGGAGTTAGTGCATGCAATTGAGGGAGGGTGGGAAGTGCTCTTCAATCCAGGTAAGACACATCATTGTATTTAGTTAGCGGAAGGTTGCGAAGTGATTTAGGCTTCGGTGTGTTTCGCTTGCGGCGCGACGACAGCGCCGCCACATCACCCCCCTGCTCAGACCGGAGGTCGGTAGTGCAGTCCGATTTGCCGGTGCGTCCTTAATGCCGGCGGGAATGCATGTTGTGTGCATAAGGCCAAGTGAGACCGGTGCGAATGACATGCCGATGTGTAATGCATGCCGTACTACGCACTGGCAAGTGATGCCGGTGAGAACGATGTGCCGGAGCAAGTGCCAGAAGTCAGCCTTATAAATATGCGGTGAGTCGAAATGAAGACAAGTTGGACTGGTTTGCAGGAACTGAAGACTGCAGAAGACAATTCTCAGTAGTGAATGGTAGGGGTTCTTGAGGATAATGACAAAGGCTTGAAGTTGTAGTTTTCGAAGGTTGTTCGTTGCGTGTTCAGATCACGTCGGGTGGTCACCACAGTGGCCGTGGAAGGAAAAGGGAAGATTTCCCGCCGGGCAAGGCGTTCTGCCCGGGGAGCAGCCAACACTCCATGTGATAGTTCGGAGATGTTCTGTATGTACTGTTCATGATTCGGAATTTCGATAGCGTGATTTAGGCTTCGGTGTATTTTTCTTGCGGCGCGACGACAGCGCCGCCACAAACATATTGGGTCGTTGTGAGTATAAAGTGTACTTTATAATACTGATTTTTTTATAGATTAAGGGTGACAAACGGTCACACAGTCCATCTGATGGTAAGTAGATATAAATATCATAAACATTCATTGAGCTATTATGTACTACGTACTAGAGGCGACACTGCATTCAGCTACTCTGTTCAACTCAACTGCGGTGCATACACCGCACCTTAATCAGTCACTCGCTAGGCGCTTGTAGAGATGTCACGTGTTGTGTTGATTTAAAAAAAATCTCTTGATAAAAATATGGCGTCGTGTGTACTTAGATATTACACAAATAATTCAAGAAATGTCAGTAAAAACCAAGGAATTACTTTTCATCGGTTAATAAGATACTTAAATCAATAAAAAAGTATTATGTATTAATAATAAAACAAATTATTCCTAAGACACCATCTCGTGTCAGGGAATATAGATTATGAAATTAATATGTTCAGATGCGACATTTCTGTGGGTACTTAAGTATAGGACGAATATATTATTATTCACATTTTTTGTAGTAACATATATAAGTTATTATAATTTGGCAAAACTTTTCATGTTTAAATCTGCTTATTATTCTTTTATTTTATTTTTAGGTTTCCACATCAAAGAAAGTGGAATAAATTCGTTCATTTTAACTCTCGCGTGCCCAGCATTTATGAACGACTTTTATTATAATTTAAATAAGTATATTTGTAATGTAAATGTTATGTTAATAAGTTTTGTTAAACATACAATTAGTATGTTTTTTTTATATTTGACTTAGATACCTTTTAAAATATTCAGATAAAAATATCATTAAAATGTAATTGTGATATAATATTATGTAATATTATATTAAATAAGCAAATATAATATACAAAATAAATAACAAAATTTAAATATTGTTCTCGATATAATTTACCTATTTAACAATGTAACCTACGGATCATTCTACCTATGTTTATTCTATGATAAAAAAACCAACCGCGCGAACACAGAGTAGCGCACATTTTTTGTTTGAGATAGCTGTTCTAGTACGTAAGTACATATTACTTCAATGTAAACATCTATATTTATCTCTATCTATAGGGTGACAAACGAGCACACAGTCCACCATATGGAAGATGCTTATCCAATGGTTCAGTTTTCCTCTGTCGCCTCTTACGTCACCCACTGAATGATAGGGGGTAGTTGATGTTCTTACACCGCCACTACATAGTCAATTTACAATTTAAATGTATTTCGCGGTTGTAACATATCAAACAAACTTACTTAAAGCGCTTGCTATTGTCGCTATAAGAGCATAATTTATGGTATCTGAAAGCAAAAACTCATTGAATACGGAAACGCAAACGCATGTTGGACTTTCAAACAGAAACCGTTGCTGCATTGGTTATCGGACAGATAATTATTTAGCTTATATATTTATAGATAATGATACAATAGATGAACAAAATATCATCTTATTTGAAAGTTACGTACTTGTGTTCATTTGTTTGTTGTTGTATGTAAAAACATCCTAACTGATCCGAAAAGAGCATAGACAATATCTTGTTTTGAATGTTACGTACTTAAGATTAAGTTGTATTCATTTGTTTGTGTTGTGTTTATTTGTTTGTGGTTGTTTGTAAAAACATCTTAACTAATC